GTCTGAAATGGCTAGCAATTACTACATCAATCAACAATCAACACTGCTATGCGACTGGAAAAATAAGTGAAGAAAATAAGTGAGTGAATTCTAGCCTTATTTGAAATTTGTGGAGGCCTTGGTTGGGGCGAAATGTGCCTAACGTTTTCTTAAATCTTTCTCTGTCCCTTAACCCTCGAAATGTTGACGCTACGCAAATCCATCGCTTCATGCTCAAAACTTCTTGAAGCAGTTGGGAAAATTAGGAAATTCGTTATGAAATTGTATGCAGTCAGCAGAGAAGGTTTCGAACTCATGAAATTTGGCCAATATTTCTTCCCAGTAAGATTAGAAAGCAAAAGTGGTTTTAAACTCGACTATAAATCTGATAGCCGGTGCACTTTACGCTCACTTCTTCATTAAGCTCTCGTAAAAGCTCTACCTAACTAGATGCGGAAGATACGGTACGCTCGTAAACCTTTTGAAGTTCCTTGAAGCTGTGAGAAAATAGCTTTATGAATCCTTTGGAGTAATCGCAGCGCCATGCTCGAGGACAAATACCCTACCCCGCTTGGTAAAAGAAATGGTGAGCTTCCGAAACTTTGAACTCCCTAGTTTACAATTTTTCTTTCAAATATCAAACCTACCTCGAGTGAATAAACTCCACCGATTGGTGGGGCTAGAGGACGACAGAGACATCCGATCTGGGTTAATGCACGAAATGTCAAAGGAGTTTGAGACTCGTAAATACCCTCAATACGTGAGCAGCATAATTTTTCATTGATTTCATTCATCAGCTTCTGTTCTGTGCTCTGAAAACCAGACGGTTCATATACAATTCACGAATCAACACCCTTACCACGAAGCTAACATACACCACTTATGATATGCTCGTACAGATAGTGCACTGGTTTATGATGGGGTAGCACTCTCCGTACGACTTCTCGACCTTCTAGTGGTTCCTAAACTATTTAAAAATTGCTTTATATGCGTATGGACGAAATGTCATAAGTTTACCCTCTCATTTATGATCACAACTCGAGGGACTCGCAATTGAAATCTATCCATTCGACCTTCTAGTGCTACCCAGATGTTGTAAATTCCAGGCGTCCTCGTCTCCTCTATGGACAGTACCTAAAGAAAAACAGCATCTGATAATCTGAACTTACCCAGCTCATTGCTTCTGCTACTCCCTTTACCGGAGAACACCGCCACTGTTCGAAATTTTTTTGCCCGATTAAAAAATCAAACCTGCCATATCCTATCACGCATGGATTCTCGTGTATTCGACAGCATTCGTTCGACCATTGTAAACCCTACAAAATGAAGCTCACCTCAGAAAATCATCGAATAGGAGAACTTATGTAATTGATTCACCTCTCTCCTTTCTTCTTGTGAGATTGTTTACTTTAGCCAACCGCCATTTCTTCTTGAGATATCGCAACCACTCGTCGAAACCATCTCGCGCCAATGTCTTCTTTGAAAGAGTTTCGTTGCCTGCCTAGAGATGTTTGTAGATCTAACAAGATCAAATATCGCAAAAAGAAAACATAGGGCATTATCAACACATAGATTTTCGGGCTCAAAACGGTCAAGTCTTATCTCGTGCTAATTTCTTCGATTCCCCTGGACCAACTAATCCTTTTGTGTTGTTTTGCTCACAGTCGACTTTCAAAACAATTGCACAGGTAAGGCGCTACTCACCTCTGGAACTGGTCGCTGTTTTTTCGGATCATTCTCTTTGTTTCCTTCATCTCTGTCGATTGCCTCCACCTGCTCCATCTCATCCCGACTACGCTTTCCGTTGTCATTAATTACCGGTGGTGAGTCATCCGGTAACTTCTTGTGGAAAAGATCTGTGATTCTTGGTTGGCGGATGGAATCAAACCTGCGAAGAAACTGTCAACAATATCGAGCAAAAAATGGTACAAAAAAGTCTTCACATCGAGAATAGAGATGAGTTTTCACCTATTCTTGATCTTATTAGCAAGCCAATCAGGATGTGGGATTCTGGCAACGGGATTGGGTAATCCTTGTAGTGCTGCAGGAATTGTAATGATTTTATTCTTTTTTTTGTAGGATGCCGGTCTTGCATGTAAATTCGTCATTTCTCG